CATTGCTGCAGATATTGCAGCCGACCAAGACCGCTTACATGCATGGTTGGCAGGTAGAATTTGTGGAGCTAGTGTTGTCAGGAGCTCCAGTGCATTAGGCACGGCTCCTGTGGAAGGTGACGCGCCAACATGCGCAAGAAGAGAGAGGAGGAACCCTCAATCATCTTTCGCCTTACTTGATTGTGTTTTATCGGGCGATGGGATGTTTGACAAATTCAGAGCGGACACGGTTTCCGCTGCTGACCCAGAGCCATCCAGGTAGATACTCACGGGAGGCCGAAGTAGACACGGATCCGGACGAGGAACCTGCCAGTCCGTCTCCGGCTCCGGCCCCAGCAAGAGCAGCAGAAGAACGTCGAAGTGAGCGCATTCCGCGAAAGCGCAAGTGGGATGAGAGACCTGAGGACAGGCAGCCAGAAGTGCCAGCTGCGCCGACTCGTGGTCGGCCCACCCACGAGCCTCACAGTCGACCAAAACAGAGGGCACGCAAAATGCCAACTAGTACTGAGGAGACCGGGCGTACTCCGCTCCGACGGAATCCCACGCAGGAGGAGATAATCGCGCAGATTCTAGGGAAGTCGACAAATACCTCTGCGCAGAAGGCACCAATGCCTTCGGAAGGAGATGGACGGACTAACAGTCGGCCGACTACGAGCCGGGCGACTGAAGGTCGACAAGCGGAAGGAAGGCCAACTGAACGGCGCGTTGAACCGGACAGCAGGCCGGAAGCAGAAGAGAGTTTGGCTGACGAGCCAACAACCCTCAGAAGGTCGTCTTCGGCGGAAGGCACTTCTGGGAAGACGCCACCAGCAAGAAGGCCAAGTGGAGTGAAGACGCGCAGGGTGTATCCGACTCCCAGTCGGACAACTGCTATTCTGTATTGTCGGAGGGCGTGTTGTCAGTCAAAGTCCTGAGTCGGAGTCCTGACTCCGACAACTGTATTGTCGGAGGGCGGTGTTCCTATCCTGCAATACTTGGCACCTGGAGGCCCAAGTGGCCACCTTGCTCCTCGTCCTGCGCTTGACAGTCTCCACATAAGACTGCGGTTTTCCAGTACCCGAGTACTTGGATGTCTTGCGATCCAGATAGCGCAGGAGAGGAACTATCTGCTCACACAACACCCCTGTTGGCGTTTTCTGCACAGAATCCGCTTCCTGCTCTTCCGAGCTCGTCTCATCCTCAGTTTCGAGGATTTCAGTCGCCACTGAATCCCTTGGCGACTCCCTGGAACTGTGGCGCGCAGCAGCTTCCGCTGCGACTGCCACTCCACTGCCTGCTAAAATATCCAAGGCAGTGGGGGATCCCACTGCTTGAGTCCCTGTTCCGGCTCGATCTTCGGTTTCCGAAGGGGTCGACGCCGCAGTGACTTTTGTCACCCTTGCACCGCCCGCTTCTGCTGCCTGCCCTTCCGGCGCAATCTGCGCGGAAGGTGTCTTTGCTGAAGGTGCGTCCGCCGAAGGCGTCCGCACACTGGTCGCCGGCCCTGTCCGTCTCGCAGTCGGCGAATCCGGCCGACTCTCTGTTGACCGACTCGCAGTCGGCCGACTAGCAGTTGTCCGACTGGGAGTCGGATACACCCTGCGCGTTTTCACTCCACTTGGCCTGCTTGCTGGTGGCGTTTTCCCAGAAGTGCCTTCCGCCGAAGACGACCCTCTGAGGGTTGTTGGCTCGTCAGCCAAACTCTCTTCTGCTTCCGGCCTGCTGTCCGGTTCAACGCGCCGCTCAGTCGGCCTTCCTTCCGTTTGTCGACCTTCAGTCGCCCGACTCGTAGTCGGCCGACTGTCAGTCCGTCCATCTTCTTCCGAAGGCATTGGTGCCTTATGCGCAGAGGTATTTGTCGACTTCCCCAGAATCTGCGCGATTATCTCCTCCTGCGTGGGATTCCGCCGGACCGGAGTACGCCCGGTCTCCTCAATACTAGTTGGCATTTTGCGTGCCCTCTGTTTTGGTCGACTGTGAGGCTCGTGGGTGGGCCGACTACGAGTCGGCGCAGCTGGCACTTCCGGCTGCCTGTCCTCAGGTCTCTCATCCCACTTCCGCTTTCGCGGAATGCGCTCACTTCGACGTTCTTCTACTGCTCTTGCTGGGGCCGGAGCCGGAGGCGGACTGGCAGGTTCCTCGTCCGGATCCGTGTCTACTTCGGCCTCCCGTGAGTACCTACCTGGATAGCTCCGGGTCAGCAGCGGAAACCGTGTCCGCTCTGAATTTGTCAAACATCCCATCGCCCGATAAAACACAATCAGGTAAGGCGAAAGATGGTTGAGGGTTCCTCCTCTCTCTTCTTGCGCATGTTGGCGTGTCACCTTCCACAGGAGCCGTGCCCAATGCACTGGAGCTCCTGACAACACTAGCTCCACAAATCCTACCTGCCAACCATGCATGTAAGCGGTCTTGGTCGGCTGTAATATCTGCAACAATGCAGTCGCGACATTTCTCCGCAATCGATCCTTGTAATCCCGTGTCCGGAAACCGTTCTTGGGATGCCTGGCAACTTTAAAAAGCTCATTGTAGGAGATTTCTTCCTCCTGGGACACCTTCACGCTATCGGCTTCGAAGAGGAGATACCCTTCCTCGCCGGCACACCTGCCCAACACCTGCGCCCAGTCACAAATGTCCCATCTTTCTGGATGTGGACGGAATCCGCGTGAGGGCTTGTGTCTCTCCTGCAGATACTCGCGCACCATCTCCGGACATGTCCAGTTCCACCCCCATAGAAGAAAATCGAGCTTCAGCCCCAGCAGCACATCTTGAAATGCGCGTAGACCGATCTGCGGCACCCTGAGTGGAGACACTCGCAGCTGGGGGACCTTCGACATTGCGTTTCCTGCACACACAAACGTTCTCCCTTTCGCTCGCCCTCTCACAATCGCCACTGCGCGTCGGCCGCTCAAGCACTGACTGCTGTCACTCGCTCTTCTCTCGCGCTCGAGTTCGCTACTCGTAATTCTCTCCAAGGTCTGTCAAGATCCTTGCGCAACTCGCCTCCGCACTCTCTCCTCTCACTGCAGGTCTCTCCGCCCTTGCGCGTAATCTTGGAAGCTGGAAATCGCAAAATCAAGAATGAGAGAATGAGACTGGAGCGCAGTCTTTTCTTCTCCGAATTCAAGAACGTCCAACGTTCTTACTGGTTACAACGTACGCAGCCGGCTATACGGCCTAACGGTTCGCTCTTGCATGCGCGAATTCACGTCTCCGCACTGCGCGCATTCGCATGCGTGAATGTTGAATTCTCCCGCCGCCGCCGTCTTCCGGACTCGAGTCCGCCGCAATGTATACGTCGGCTATGTTGTCTTTCCCTAACCCGTCCATCACTGGAGGCGTGTCGCCGCTGGCGTGTTCCTTATCCGTCGGCGCCTTGCTGGAGGCGCACATCCAGTCGGCGCGAATTACGCCGGCGCGTATTCGTACCGCTTATTTTGTCCTTTATGCCTCGTCCATTGCTGACGGCGCATATCCCGCCGGCGCAAATCATACCAGCGCAAATCATGCCAGCGCATCCGGCTATCAGCGCCACGTCGGAGGCGTACATCCGGCCGGCGCGTTTCTTCCGTTGCGCAGCCGCCAAAGGCGCTTCCGACTCCGAGTTGATTTCCTCCCATGAGCGCGTGATTCCGCCGAAGGCGCATCGCCGAGGGAGTACGGGAGTCCTTTCCGGCTGTGAACCCTAGCGCGAACGGCGCATGTCCGGCTACGAGTTTTCCGACGCTTATAACTTCTTCGTCCCTGATCCATCTCCGACGCTCTTGGGCTCGTTAGAACGAGCGTCCCGAGCTCTTTCTAATGCAACTTCAACCAACTGGATCTACCGTGTATTCCGATCGTTATGAAGGTTTCCCTTTCCGCGCTAGCGGCGCATCGCCGAAGGCGCACTCATGGTCGGAAGCCTTCAGAGGTCCGGGCCGTTCTTCTGACGTCTTTAGCAAAACCTCCTCCTGAGGTGTCTGCGCCGGAAGCGTAGCTTCCTTAAACGCTGGAAGCGCGTGAGTAGAGACACCTCAGAAAAGGAGCTTTTGCCGAAGGCGCCGAAGACATTGGCGTTGGTACATCTGACTACGCGATTCTTCGTGACCTCGTGACGATCTCATCAATCCACTCTATTTAACGTACCCTTTTCTAACTACAAACACTGCTTCGGTACTAGTTTTCTAAAATTGTTTAAATTCTGCAAAAAAAACAAAAAGTGTGTTACCACAATACTCTTCGAGCCTTCCATTCTGGTAGCTTATTCCACGGAGTCAGACTCGGAAAAAGTGCTCGGGGCCCATGTTTTTTTGCGGCTGAAGGTGAATGATGCTTGGATATCATGTTCATTTTGATCCTCAAGTTTGTTTGATTTCGCTGGTTTACGGGCCGATGGAATATTTTCTATGTGCGATTTGCGACTTTTAAAGGATTACATTCTCTCTATCATTGTTATATCGATACCCTGAAACGGCCAATGGACAAAAATTTTAGAACTTTTTTAGGAGTGTCAAGGATATACATTATTTTAAGTTGACTTCGCCAAGATTCTTCGGTCCTGGAAAGTCAAGTGCGGCCTTGGTTCAACAAAAATCGCTTCAAACCTGCACGGAGCATTATAGTAACCACGCCTGACAACATAAAATATTATTCTATAGAGATCCGCTGGCAAAAATCGTATCTTACGTAAGAAATTTTAAGATTCTGTTGTGTTAAATTCCACAATGACAAAAGGTGCGACAACTCCTCCTTTGTGATTGATTTCGAGACAAAAGGTGCGGCAACTCCTCCTTTGTGCTTGATTTCGAATCAGCGATTGGATGGCCGACATACACCGTACTTTTCAAAGTATCCGGCCGAAAGAAGAAACCAAAACCTTACTTATCCCACGTGTCATCCATAAAGAGTAAGTTCTGGATGAGATGATAATCCAAAAAAAATCTAAGAAAAGGGTCTGCCAAAATCCATCAAAGTGTTTGAGATACCTGTAAAATCAAAAGTTTCCCTAAATTTCATATTATATTTGATATTATATTATATGATTTGACTGCATGCCTCTATTCATCATGAATATAGAATCCTTGAGTTCAAAAAATAATGTATGGATGAAGTTATATAGTGTCTACAGCATGTAGCGTAGTTCATACATATCATCAAGCTAGATGTGGATGTCTCTACGATTCTGTACCTTAAGGTATAATATCTTCGCTTACATCGTTGATAACTTGACTCAAGGCATCAAGGCTACTCGTCCTTAATGGGACAACAATCGGCTGGCACAATGGTATTCTTAAGTGCCTTCAGTCTTCCATTTACGGACGGAACTACAAATGAAATAAATCTACAGTCTCCCGCCACTATTCAGATTTACATTTAGTTTGTGATAATACTATCACCTGAGCAATCTATGGTCAGGTCTATTCCGTAATGTTCCCTACCCATCGAAGTTGTAAGGATCATCATAAGGATCCATCAAATCATCGAGTTGAAAAAAATCGCTCAAGGTTTTGGACCGTACGTCCTGTAAGAGTGGAAAGGCCTTTCGTCAGAATAGTATTACAGTATAGCATTTTCAGCACAGTTCATGAAGACCACAACCAGCATTCGATATGATGAACATTTGAAAGGTTATAGTTAGACAACTCACCGACTGCTGATTGTCGATGAACTTCACTCTCTTCTTTGTTTTTTCCACATGATTCTGCAAACAGGGATTTGTTATCCCGTCGTAAACGTGGTGGTAAGTCAACCACAAACGCTCACACAAATGTACTCAGCAGTTTTTGTAAGATATATATTCTTCTACTCGGACGGATCATTTCTGATTTTAAGTACAGTTATTTACCTGACCCGCAGCCCTGCTGCCTATCTTCCTACGCCTCGTCATCGAATCCTTTTGATCTGTGTGCGATTGGAAACGATAACACTGTCCAACCTGGGTTTGCAAGGGAAAACGATGTTACCTTTAAGGTCGAATGAAAAAGAAAATTGCATTGTTCATAAATTGAAGTTTTTTCCGAATGATTCCTTCAACACAATGAGTCATTAGTCCACAAACCATCTTGCTCGGTGTCGACAGGTTACTTGCCACCTCCTTGTCTTCAGAATCCTCAAGATTGATAAAACTATTTGAAGCCCCTTGAAGTTGACTCTTCTGGCATCAAGTTAGAACGATGCTAGTTCAATTCATTTGTTCCCTCGAAGAACAAATGTAGTGCTTCAACATGACAGATTCAGGTATCTGAAGAGTCACTCATGAACTTCTTTCAAGAAATTATTTTTTAGTATAACTCGAAACCAGTCTGATAAGGCCAACATATACACCGAGAATGCTAGAGAATCGAAAAAAGTGTTGATTTCTGAACCCTCAGATTTATCCGTATTGGTTCAGCTTTGCATGAGTGGGAATTACTAATCTATGTGAGGGAAATGGAGCTTGCGATTTTCTCTAATTTCAGAAGCTTTAGGACTCCTGAAAATCTTATCGTGTTATCTTTTGCACAGTAACTATATCTGAAATTCATGTTTCCAGATCTCGTGTTGCTGTTTACCTCTGCAGTTAGTCCGGTTGATGTCAAAACAAGTGCGTTCTTCTGCTGTCTTGAATCTCTGTGTGTATTCACGCTCTGCTTATCCTTCGGGTTTTTTGCCTGCATTCACCAACCCAGAAATCAACTCTTAAATGTATTGTATGTACTTAGCCAGGCCGCAACAGGAACAAGTTCATCCAAGAAGGAGAACATTTAGTCCTACTATCCAGTTGCATGTGATCAAAAGTCACAAAATATTTTTTCCGCAACCTCCTAATTTTGCTACAGATGTGATTAATGAATACCCTTGGATTTGAAGACTTCGAATTTCGTTGCGTTTTCGTTTGTTTCTTTTCTATTCTCCCAAGATGACCAGCAGAATCTGCAGGTCTGAACATGTCGTCCTGACAAAGAGAATTTACACATCAAATCTGAGCGTACGATTCATTTTCACAATCATGGATCACGCGTAACTGAACTTACAAAGTTTATCTAGATTCTCTAATCTTCCCACGAGATTATTAGGTGTATAAGCAGTGTCGGCTTTAACATTTAGCGTTCCTTTATTCTCTCTCTAGCACTTCTAGAAGTCACGGTTCGATGTATGTGAGAGAAATACTCTCGGAGTAGAAGAGACTGCACTCAGCCTCCTTCCAGATGTTTTCAAGACATTGCTTCGAGAAAAGTCAGCTTTATCTGGAATCTGAGGCTCCCCTTCCTGCAAACGTAACACGATACACATAGAATCAACATATAGGAAGGGTAAAACAAGATATACTCCCTGCGCTCTGATATGCTAAACCAATTAGATTGAATCTTGAAAGGGAGATGTGTACAATCAGCAGCAAACTCGATGTAGAGTTCATGTCGGCATCCGCAGTTTTATGGGCCAAGTCCTTAGGTTTGAGTTCATTTTCCTGTCAAAGGAGCAGCAGGTAATATTAATTTACATTACGTTGGACTTAATTCTTCGTGATTGCACTAACAACGATGTATTCGTTCAATTCAAACGCTGAAGCTCTAAATCCCCTCCGTTTACATGCCGACCTAACAAGAACTCTCTAGTATGATATAGGTTTAAACATGGACGGCAGCAAGCAACAAAACACCCTCGGAATCAATGGAGATTACTTAGCTAGCTACAAGCAGATCTGACGAGTATCTGATGTGAACACTGGCAAATTATATGCAAGATTACATCACTTCTAAACTGGAAGTGGTTCAATGACTCTTGCGATTTCCATGTATTAACCAGTCACATGCTTCAGTTAATAACTTCAAAGTACAACTTCTGAAAGAGTTTAGGTCCAGAACTTGAACCTTTGCATCAGATTCACCCATCCTGTCTGATATGATTTTTCCAGAATTCGAAGGATTGCTGACAAGAACCTCCTCTACTAGGCCAGCCTCTGGGCAACCCGTGCGTAGTTTGACCTCATAAAACAAGGCTCTTGATTTCCACTGCAGATTTCAAGTTCGGGGTATGAGATATGACGTTGCAGACTAACTATTGTATGCTATTCCCTATACTAAACAAAGCAAATCGAATATTGCGTAGTTTAATCAGTGGTCCACGCATGCGAAAGGAAGAAATTTTCATTTTCAAATATTAATTTAAAGAAATACCTCTTCAATGATCTTTGTACATTCCATCTCCAGTCTCACAATTTCAGCCTCGTGCTCGCGACTTCGTAAATTGTACTGGCAAGCATCAATATCGACTTATTAAAAACTCCCCATTTTTTATTAAGCAATTTTTTCCATTCAGTGATTATAATTTAAGACAGAGATCACTCCGGAAAATACAACTAACATTCCCCTCACAAAGCTCGCCTGGAATGTCCTGATTAGTTTCCGCATCATCCTACTTAGGCACATCCAGGTATTCTAGTAAGAAATCAGACTCCAGATACTCACTCTGGAGTTCATCTCTTGTATTTTACTTGCGAGATCTTTTATGTGATCGTCTTTCAACTTTTCCAGCTGCTCTTTCATAGAAGCGACCTCTTCCGCAGTCTAGAGCCAAATCAACGATTTTTTTATCATCCACGCTATATGCTCATTTCGCAAACAAGAAACGTGGAAAATTTCCAACAATTGAAAAACCAACGAATTTTTTAAAACCTCAGAAAATTTATGCATCAAAAAGCTTGAGAATTTTACTCTTCATGTCTTCTTCCTTTTCTACACATGTCTCGAACTGGACTATTTGAATTTTTAGATACTATATATGTATCATGTAACAAGCATCATACAAAATAAATTAGTAATAGACCTGAAACTGATGGTCTACAAAGATATGAATGGCTTCCTTCTCGTATGAGCTGCTTACTGTTCTTAACTGCTTACTACTAGCATACCTCCAGTAAAAGTGCTTGTAATTTTATGACCTCCTCCTGATGGGACTTTTGAAGCTCCATAATCTGCTGCTGGAAATCCTCTGTAATATTATCACATCTCTGGTGCTTCCACCCATAAAAATTAGCTTATCGTTTGCCGTATGTACGCAGATTCAGGTAGAAATCACAGCAGGAACTAATGAGAGATGAACTCTTACTTTTGTTGTCTCAGCACTAAGCTCGTGCTGCTTTTTCTCAAGTTCTTCTGCATGCAATGCCTTAAGTTTCTCTTTCTCCTCTTCATTAGCTTCTTTAATGATCCTGACCTGAGATTGAGATGTCCCACTAGGTTAGATCTACTCGAATTCAAGAAGCGTTATGCAAGCGAGCATGTACGAATCGTCGGTTGAGATAACAAACCATATCTTCATGATCCTTTTGGGCCCTCTTAAAAACGTTTTTAGCCTCATCTAGCTTCCTCGAGAGTTGCAACTCTGACTCTCGTTTTATTGTCTCCAAAGCAGATTCGCCCTGAAGAGATTGAATTCAGTGAAATTAGCAACGATCCTCATTGGTATGGACTTTCAACGCAATCAACGTGAGACACTAGTGGATTAACTATTATGTATACCCATTTAGGCAATGGATGGGTACAACCATAGGTTTCTCAAAGAAACGGTTAGAGTTACATTCCCGCGGGTTCCATGGTAAAGAACCAACCTTTTGTTTCTCTTCAGCAGCAGCTTCTCTTGTTTGGGCTTCGTACTTTCTCCTCATGTCGGCCATTTCCTGCCATAATCCGAAGGGTATGAGTCATATTAGGATATGCTTCAACTGTTTACCATGCTTTTGTGTTTGTTCATTGGAAGCACACGCAGGAGGGTACTGGAGTGATATATAATTACAACTTGCTATGTTGATCAACTAATCAGACGAGAAACAGGAATAATTTCAGACTCAGAGGTTGAGCATAGCAAGACTGAAGGAGCTGATTTCATGTATGTTGCGTTGCACTTTATGATACCAGAATTCTACTTACCTGATTATTGCGTTGCGAAATCTCTTGTAGATGACTGGTCAATTCTGCTTGTTTAGCTTCCAACTGATACTTAAACCTTAAACTGATCTCCGCAGACGCCTTCTCAGCAGCAGTCAATTGCACTCGCATCTGCAATATGGAAATCTTATTTAGTTCCAGAAAAGTGTTGCAATGCTTCAGTTCATATTGTAAAATAGGTTCATTTACTGAAGGTTTCCGAACCTCTTGGATCTCTCGATTATATTTCTCCTTCTGCTGAGACATTTCAGCCTCTATCAACTGTTTGTTCTCGTTACTCTCATGCCGGATCCTAATAACCTCGTCCTTGACAGTCTCAAGTTCAGCATCGCTCTCCGAAACTTTTCTGTGAAGAATTTCGGTCTCTTCTGACTTCTCTCGCAAGTTTTGCCTCAAGGAGTTAGCAATAGTCTCAAATTCTGCCAGTTGTTGCTTCAGCATATCTGAGGACATCTGATGCGCTTTTTTATCCTCTTCGAATTGTTCAGCAGTCCTGATTCTCTCCGAATGAAGACTCTCTATGGTAGTATTGGCCACTTCGTTGGCATGTTGCAACTCACTAATCTTAAGATCCAGTTTCGTTCTTGTCTCTTTGAGAATCTCATTTTCCTTCAGCTCAAGGTTGTAAGCATTTTGTGTATCCTTAAGGTGGCGCATTTGTTCTCCAGCCTCTTGCACCTGTCCAACAAAGATCGTAACTTGTGTGTCACATGCTATGAATCAAAGCAGGAATTTTGAACTACCTCTTTAAACACTCGTAAAAGAAAGTCCATGGATCATTAAAAAAACTAGTTAGCTTTTAAATTTGGTTGGAATTTATATTATCTAGAAGTTATCACCACAATGCAAAACAGAAAGAAGTATTCATGTACATGAAATAATTTTCTTTTGCATATCTCTTGAAATTATCAAGATAATTTTCTACAGTATATATTATATTCTATAATAATATACTACAATCATTGTGCAAAGCTGCATAGATAAGTCTTCTAAGTCTGGAGAATGTGTTGACATCTTCACGTCTTAGATAGAAACAAACCTTCTCTGATCATAATTATAGCTAGGATCACATTTGACACGATATTGTAAAAATACGTAAATAACTAATTCTTTTAGATGACACAGTGAAACCACGTATGGGACGATCAACATTTCTTACAAGAACCAGGTTCTTAGCCTGCAGATTTGTCACGTCTTCTGCCTTTATAAGCAATTTTCTTGTAAGATGTTCTATCTCTGATGTCCTGGATTCAATCGTTTCCTTGTCGTCCTCGATTTTTCTGACAGCGTTGATCAGCTGCTGTTGTAGGTCATCTGCTTATTTGGAAAAGCACAGTAGGATTCAAACGTGAATAAACTTACTGCGTATATTTTACTTGTACCGTCAATAAACAAATCTTAAATCAAGTTAGAAATATGCGGAAATAATTTTAGGAAGGCTTCCATCCATTTCCACTATTCTATGTAGACTAATGTTTGCCTGGTAGCAGCAATTGTTATTGCAACAATCCACATGACACAGAAGATTTTATTAAAACAGTTTGTGTGAACAGCGGAGTGGAGTCCAGAAACAGGTTATACCCTCCGGTCCTCCGGAGTTCATTGCTGTGAACTACGCATCTTGTGAAGTAGCAAAGAAGTCTTATTATCATGTAACTGTACAGTTACGAACTGTAGCTCTCACCCTTCTCGCACTTCAGTTTCATTAGTTCTTCATGGTCGGCATCAAGTTTTTTTTCAGACTCTTCAAGATTGTTGCTGATATTTGCAATCCTTTCCTCATCTGCGAACAGATTTTACGTTAGTAAAGGAAGGCTCGTTCTGCAAATGAATGTACAGGTCAGACTCTGAATTCAATTAGTCTCTAATATCAAAGATGGCCAAGTTGAGCAACACGTACAGATCTTGTTTTTGTCTTCTGTTTCTTGTATCCGCAGTGATAAGTCATCAACCTGAGACTTTGTATCCTCATAGAATATTTTCCGTTCTTCCAACTTTTCCTCCAGATCTTTTCTGCTCTGCTCCGCTGCATATACGTACAATGTACTCTAAAGTATCTGTCATGGTATATTCCAATGTACAGAGAGATTGACTGGTAATGTGGAAAAGGGCAATTGTGGAAGCACTTCACAGAGGACTATCTGTGTCTATATTGGTTCAAAATAAATAATACTGGTGGTGAAGTAATGAATAAAATGCCGTATAAAATTGATTTATTACCTTCCGCGAGTTGGACCTCCAGAACCCGCAGTGTTTCGGCTAGATGATCGCAGAATGTTGTGGTGGCTAAAAATTTAGAGTCCAACCCATTCCATAAATTCATGTCCTCATTGCGCTCGACCTTAAGCTTTGCATTCTCGTTATACAAGTCCTGCATCTTCAACTCAAGATTCTGGACTTGCTCTTCTGAATTCAGAAACTTGTTTTTCTGCAATACACTTGCTTTACATTCTTTCAGTTGTTGATAAATTAAGAAACCTTTCTTGGAGAAAAATCAAAACAGCCAAGTCGGCTGAGCAGGAAGCATGTCTTTTAATGACCTGCCGAAGGAGCATAATACCATAATTTGAAGCTCTGAATGTATGGAAGCCTGCTCCTGCATCATCTTTTCTGCGAAACACAAAAGCAGTACTGTTTGAGAAAGGGGATGAATTGCCATACCATACACGTTGTGCGAACGTTGAGACCCAGATTCAAAGTGCGATCATTTCGATGTTTACGTCCCCACGACTTTAATGTGAAAAATTAATTTCTCAGCTCGAAATATATATTTTCAGAAGCAGCAAATTCTTAAATAGGTAGGGTTCAACTTTGTTACATATAACGTAAAAATTGAAGGTTTTTAATGACTTGTAATACCTGCGGTAAGCTTCAATTGTTTAAAGTTTTCCCCGGTTCGCGAACCGGTGAGCTTTGAAGGCGCAGCGAACCGTGTGCCACCACTTCCAAGGAAACCTCCGAAAGACATTCCGGAGTGAGGCTCACCTGCCTCCTTCGCAGGAATTTCGATCTTTGAATTTGCCGAATAAGTCTTCGCCATTGCGCTAGCTAAAAGTTGATTATGGATTCAGATGGATAACGGACAAGGCTAGCTGGAATATTGATTCAAGAATTGATCAATTTTAAGTCCAAGAGATCGCTCTGACTCTTAACTTCACAAGCTTTACCCAGATCCTCCCTTTGAACTTCGAATGATCATAAAAACGCTAACATAATACTCGTCAACCCGGCTCTTAATCCACATCAAACATCGCTGAAATGCAAGGTTCAGGATGGAATATACCGCATCTGATGAAAATTAACCGGTTGACAAAAGGAACAAAAAGACAATCTTATCTGAAACTCTTCTCGAACCCAGCACGGGACCGGCAGTAAGAAATGTCTGTCAACCTTAGGAAAGTGAGTTGTAACTTCGAACTCCAGCCATACAAGCATAAGTCGGGCAACCGATCGACGAACCGACAAGCGAAAGAATGAGTTGCTGATGGTTTCACGTGTTTCATCAGGTCCGGCTGGAAGAGCCACCCCGAGAGACGCAAATCCACTCACCTGGCACGCTCCGAGTCTTTCCTACGTGGATACATCATCATTCTAAGACTTCCATATTCCGAGCAGAAATGAGCAAATTGAGCGTCTTCTGAGGCGAGACTGGACTTCTTGACACGGACCAGCGCTGGCGCCTTTGTGCCTCCTTCCGCGTTCTTGCCGACGAGAGAGAGTTTGAACGAAGATCTTGGCGACGCGACGCAGGTCCCATTTCAAATCGAAGGGCGCTGTCTCGCTGTTATGGACGTCGGAGAGAACGAGGCGCAACTAGGCCTTCACTGCGCTACGTCCCTTGCCTGCTGCGCTAGGACTGGGACTCTAGTTGGTCTGGTAGACGGAGAACCACCCGAAGGAACCACATTTTAGACACGAGTGTAAACCTCGCTGTTATAAGGAGAGTGAAAGAGAATAAGCACGACGTATAGCAAGAACACGGGAACACCCCATTATCAAGATGTGGCATCCTGGTATATATCATTTTCCACGTATCATGCGATAATCATCTATGTCCGAACATCTACAAATTATATCTACAAATTATATACATTATGTAGATATTTTTCATAAAAATTCGTATAAAATGGTCAATGTTGAATTTAATTTCATTATATTATAAAAAAAAATTTAATTTTTTTTTTCAACAATCCAAAAAATAATCTATATTTATGTCATGATTCACGTTAGATTCTGTTCAACCGAAATACTCATGAATGAGAATTGAAAAAGAAGATGTGCATCTATATATATCATCTAAATTGATATTGCTTCGTATGGGCTGATATACAAATTTATTTTAGATAAACAATCATCGTAATTTGTCAAAAACATTTATTCTATTTTAGATGCTTGATCATCTTACATTTTTTCCTCCATTCATCCTATACTTATTGTCATTTAGCTTGGATTCAACTTAACTCATATCAACAAAAAAAATTGAACTAATAGTCTCATAGTACTAAAAATTACAAAGCATCCAAAATCCAAATATAGATTTAAAATACTTAATAGGTGTTTCGAAATGAATGTAATTCAATTATCTTGGAGCGTTTGGCAAAATTTTTTAAACAAAATATATTTTTTCTCATATTAGTTTAATCAAAGTCGGAATATCTTAAAGAATTATTTACTCATTATTAATTATTCACTCTAAAGAATGTACAATTTTATCATAGTTCAAATTGAAATGAAAAAATTAAAAAGAGAACATAAAAAAATAAAATAATTTATTATAATTTGAAGCTTTTAACACAAAGATATTATAAGTTTTAATTTGAACTATAACTATGATTGAAAACAATTCGAATATAAATATGAATTATTTGTAATACAAACATGATTTGTATTAATTTATTAAATTAATCATTATTCATGAATTTAAAAAAATGGAATTCGTATTTTATAAAATTATTTAAATTATTTAAAAATACGAAATTATTTTCTCAATTCAAAATTAATTCACATCCTAAAATTTCATCTTGAACTCTGCAACCATTTTATGTGTACATGTTAGTGTGAATAATTAAAAACCTTTTGTAAAAAAATTAGACCTTTTAGATTTTGAAAATATTTAAATAAAAATTTAAATTGAAAAATAATCAAATGAAATAATCTTGATGAAGCTAAAAAAACTACATCATGTAGTTTATATTTATATTCTATATGATTTAGTCATGTTAATCATATATTATTTCCTTGGTGTGAAGATTTAAATAATATGTATTTATATTTTCCACTATAGATTTCCTATTTCCTAAAAATTATATTTGCAAAATTAAGAGATCTTTTATCATAATCGTAAAATTCTGAAATTTTTAATCCAAAAAAATGTGTAAGATGTACACTATTAAGAAATATTTAAATATATTGAAAGATTCAAATTATCAATTGAGAGGGCAAATAGTTATAAAAATTTAATGCGGTTGTGGAATTTCCATTTTTTCCACAGATCTTTATCATCTTGTTGATCTAGTTTTAGTACCTTTTTAAAATGATATATTTATAAGTAATTATTTAATTCATATTCATCTTATTTGATATGCATTTATAGGAACTTCTTTCAACTTGATGTTTCAAATTAAAAAATCATTTTTATTACTCTTGCACATAAAGAATACACACAATAGTCACATAATTTATTTTAGGTAATAATAAAAATAAGAAATATAGATTATTTTTTAAAAGAAACATATATTTTTTATGCAAGCACTCTACTGAGCTTCAATTATGTTAAGTTATGTATCTTCAACTATTATACAGATGATACATCAGTATAAAAATGATGTTCTTACAATTTTAAAAAAACGTTTTTTTATTCAAAAATTAGAAAAATAAATTTGAAATTGATTTTTTTGGCTATATATTTAACTCGATTTTGAGATGAAGTCAAGATCATAGAAGTTGATCTTGATGGTATTTATATTTTATGTCTACACAATTGGTTTGGAGCAAATACAAAGTATATGAGATTGTAAAACATTGTAAGACATTCTTGAATTAAATTTCTAGCCTTCTAAAGATTTCCAATGAAAGCTTACGTTGGAATATGGTGAATGTAGATTGATAATTTTTATATTTTGAAACCAAAAAAAAAATATATTAAATGTAGTAAGTCATCCTACTAACTTATTTTTAAAACTTCATGTAAGTGATATATTAAAAGTTGATTACATTTGTAAAAAATATATTAAAATAATTTTTATCCTGTTTTAATTTTCAAAGTTAAAATTTATTTATCATTAGATGATGATCAAAATTATTTTCTTGTGTTTTTTAACACAAAAAAATATTTAAAAAAATAAATAAATATCTCAATTGTGATGATATGATCTAATATTTGAAAATTGATTTGACCATTAGACTGAATATTAAGAAGTAGAATGAGAGTTGTTATCTTGATAATAAAATTCATCTAAGTTTGTCATCTGAATGTTAAAGTGTGACTTGTTGAATGTATTGAGGTTAATGTGCTTGAGAAGAAAAAAAACAAAGAAGTTTAACGAAACTCGTTCCTTTTTTTTCAACTGTTTTACATTATCAAATCATAACATAAGTTTGAGATGATTACGTTAAACATATTAGAAAAAATAAAAAATTCTCAAGAGAAAAAAATCCATGAGAGATGCAACTATTTTAAATCTTTGACACTTATATCCTCCGTTGAAATCTTCACCACCCTATATAAAATGAAAAATATTCAAATGTAATATTATTAACATGTTTTTATGTCAGTCATCAAAATGTCAAATAATCAAATTTAATATAGTGTAGCATATGTGATGAATCGTCACAAATTTCAAAAAAGATATTAATTTCCAAAAATTTTTATGTATTGATCAAAATAAAATATAAATGTTTGTAAAAATCCTTTATCAATAATTCTTTTATCTCAATCCAAGATAATTAAAAAAATTATTCAAAAAGTTTTACAAATCATGATAAAATACTATTAAGGTTTTAGATTATCTTTTCAATTAGTTTTGCCACACACAAGGCTAGTCATGACGTGATCAATGCAATAAATAGAGGAGATTATAACCATTGTGTATTTTTATCAACTCAAAAGTTAACCATAAAACTTAAGCTTGTACAACATATGATAGAGATGTTAAAAGCATGTGTGCGTTATCACATCTGTGTGGATATAATATGTAGTTGATAAAACTTGTAGTGAATTACATATTATTGAGTTTAGAAAAGCGATGTTAGATCTGAATCAATCTTAGAAAAGAGGGTTTCCAACTAGCTGAACTTATTCGGAAGTTGACATTATGTAGCACAACTCATACTTCGTTCATTGCAAGCTACTATCATTCAAATGATAAATACACATATGTGTATCAAGGTCTCAACAAATGCAATAATGTTGTATAAAAAAATTAGTGTATTTACTTATTTGGATTTTAGAAAAGGTTCAGAATATTAAAAATAAAAATTCTATAAGTAATTTGAAACGATTTAGTGATGTATTGGATGCCAATACGTCCTATAGTATCCAAAGAGTGATGTGTTCTCTTTATGAATAAATAAGTAAATGTTAATAGTTAATAGAATGTCTCAATGATAAATCTAAATGTTCATTATTTGTTGTCTTACATATGAAAAAAATGCCCATGTTTTGGTAGATACTTTAGTGTTATAGTGTATGATTTTCAGTATTGAATACTTTCATGAAATTTCAACTGAGGTTAAACTAGTGAAGGACAAATAATCCAAATATCCAACATGATCTAAATCTGTACCAACCTAAACTCTAAATTATTTCAAACCCTAAATCTGTACCAAATGTGGAATTGAAGTATATTATGGCTTTATGTCTCTGTGTCACCTGATCTGATGATAGAAAGAAATGAATAGTTTAGGATTTGTTGGAAAAGATTATGAATTCCGGTGACAAATTATGTCAAAAGTATGTTATTTGTGTGTCGAGTAATGCAATGCTAATATCAATCATTTCAAATGATTCACTAGCTACTTCAAGTATGCATCTACAATCGATTATAGCTCATCTGAAGCATCACATTTTAAATTAATTCTTTTAAAGATAAAATTTATTATAAAGATATTTTATTTTGCAATACAATGTTAATTTTTAAAATATAACGATTCATGTCAATAAAATGCATATGTGTTTTTTGTTTAGAATTGTTGATAGGATCCGCAAGCACAATTTCGTATAATTATATATTGATGGATCATGATTACTTTTTAAAAGGTCATATTCACTAGGATAGATCATTGAAAAAACTTTACTTCATTAAGACATACTATAAATCTCTAGTGCAATTGGTTATTATAGAGTAAAATCATTAGAGCTCATGTTGTATCTCTAATAAAAAATAATTTAATCATCCTTAATTGTACTTGTATAATCAACATGCCAACAAATTTCTTGACTATATCTTCAAAATAAATTTATTTTTGATAGAAAAATAAAAAAATTTCCATAGTCGTAACAAAATTGAATCCGAAAATCAAACTAAAGTCAATAGTAATGTTAAACCATCACAACGAAACACAAAACGATGTAACGTTATACACCCACACAGGACTACGTCCACAGAGAAAAGTCATGCGTTATAGTGTACTAAGTGTCATGATAACAGAAACCTGCATTGAGCTTTTGCTTTAAAACTTTACCCATATTCAACCTATACCAATGAGTGTATCAATTATACATACCCATTATCCATCCATGGCAGCTTTTCCATACCCATTACTTGCCCATTACCCAAGTCATACCCATGAGTCTATCATTGATACTTGATTACACTGAATCCAAGAGCTTTTAACTACACTTAATCCGAGAG